GCTTAATCTCCTCAATCTCTCGTTGTGCTCCACAAAAAGCATGAGCCTGAGAATTTAATGGAAACTATTTAATTCAATAAATTAAACCATTTTCAGTTCGGGCTGAGCATCGGGGTGATAGTTGACAGTGGCGGTGAGCTGGGCGTTGAGTACGCAGTTTAGTAAAACAGTACTCACAGTGGATCCGAGGCGGTTTTATGTAACCGTATTTCGCGTTATTATGATGCTTTAGAATAAAAGCAAAGAATTCAGATGGTTTTTCAACGTTAGCTCTGCTACCCGATGTACATTTTGATGGCGCATTTTGTGAAGAAGCAGAGCCTGCGGGAGATTCATGAGTGAGTTAGAGAGAGAGTGAGAGAGTGTTATATAGAGAGAGATAGAGAGCGAGAGACAGAGAGAGCTGAGAACAGCTCGAGAGATAAAGACGTACCCTACTGCAGACCGCCACAATCTTCAAGGGCTGGGTGATCAGCCTGATGTCGATGCTGCTCTATGTTATGCCATTTCTTATCCTCTGCAAGTGTTTCAAAACTACAGTTATTCCAGGATCACTTGGTGCGAAAACTTCTCGTTCTTACATTCCTGAATTTTTTTAGTTTCGAATTGATTTATGGATTTCTTTTATGTGGCTATAAAAATATTTGAACAATTCAGTTTCGTCAAAATGATACAAACAAAAATATCTGCCCATTTCAGGCTCGATCTCGGCCTCCGTGGCCACATCAATCTCCTCGTGCAACCTGGCCATCTTCTACATTCCCGCCATATTTCAGCTTGGGGATAAATTCGTTCCGCATAAGGTATTTTTAATGCTATTTTTACTACGTTACTTCGTTATGGTACTTCATATTTATGACTTATTTAGACTTGACTTATTGAATTTAAAGTAACCAACTTAAAATAAAAATAATGAAAAGAATCCATGGCTTAAAAACGGCTATATGTCTCCCAGACAAAGCAAAAAGGCCATAAAATCCAGTTTTCCATAATCCCAACCCAATTCCCCTTCATGCCTCCAAAAAGCAAAAAGCGTTGCCCATGGGTGGAATCGAATCACCGTCGCCACGGCCACAACGTGGAGTACTAACCACTATACTACATGGGCCGAGAGAGGGGCTAGGAGGGGAGGGCTATGAGGGAAGTGATGTGCGGCGATATCTGGAGCGAAGAAGTATACCCCATTTTCAGCTCCTCTCCGTGGTGTTCGCTGTGGCCGGCGTCACCGTGATGGCGTTCGACGGCGAGATCTCCGGCGAGGTGCCCGGCATCGTGTTGTCGGTCATCTCCGCGGCATCGGCCGCTTGTTATAAAGTGTGCTTCAAGCGGGTCATTGGGAGTGCCTCTTTTCCGCAGGTAAGGGTTTAAAACCGCCTAAAAAGCTTGGATTATACCTTAAGGTGTCCTTGTTCATGACGTGCCTCGGCACCCTGAACTTGTTCATCAACGCCGGTATCGCCTTTGGGCTCCTCTTGACCCCATGGGAATGGATGGAGATCTCGGCCGTGCCCTGGGCGCCACTTTTTGCAGCCGCCATTTTGAGCCTGTGTGAGTAGAAGCTCACAATTTAAAAGAAACGGGTGGTCAAAAGACTTATGATCCCAACAAACAGCAAAAAGTAGAAGCTACAAGCCTATAATACTAATTCTTAGTGTTCAACTTCACCATCAACCTCGGCATCGCCATCCTGCACCCGTTGGTGATCTCGGTCGGGATGTTGGTCGGGATCCCGTTGAATACAGGTTAGAAAATCTATAGGAACGAACCTAAAATATTTTTAGCGATCGACGTCGTCTTCCGCTCCGTCGAACCGACCGTCTTCTTCTTGACGGGTAAGCAAAGGGTTCTGCAATTTACAAGCACCTGAAAATCCAACGCTGGAAAATTTTAGCTCTTCCATCAAAAAGCAGAAAAAAACAACAGTATAAATACCTCGAAACCCTTCAGTAAAACCTAAACTTCAAAAACCGAGTTCTTAACTTGGAAAATAAAAATAAGGGATTAGTTTTTCATAAAACTAATTAGTAAAAAAATTTTAACACGACGAAAATACCTATAAGCCCCCTTAATTAAAACAAAAACCTCAAAGACCTACGCTGAAATTTTCAAAATAAAAAGAAACCGCTTATCCGACGTTTTTATAAACTATCTATTAATAGATTATTTCGCAAAACTTCGGAAATAAATAAAGTAAACGCTGACGAACGCTATTTTAGGCACCGGCTTTGATCGTCGTCTCCTTCTTCTTGATCATCCTGCCCGCCGATATCCTCCAAATCCTTCGTCGGCGAGCTTGCGGCGTTCGCGACACGGCTCGTTCCGACGCCAGCGAGCCAAAATCTGAACTAGCCACCGCCCAGCCCACCAGCGCCTAGAAAACCTGGAAGATGATCGAAATGAGCTTCTCGTCCCATTTTGTAAAAACATTCCTTTTTACCCGCCATTTACCGGTGTGCAATGATCGTTGTGATTTCGTTTCTTCCATGACTCGCCTGAAAGTGCCTTATATTTATTGTATCAAAAATACTAGACTTTTTAGTGATCTCTATTCTATAAAAAACGGCAGAGATTTACGGTCCCTGGGTTTGGAATAAATGACATCAGATGCCGAATGAAGCCAGCACACCCAAAGGTCTTATCACAATTTTCGGCCAAAAATTTGCGACCGCGGCTCCCGGTCACCAGGACCACCGGAGCGACCGCCGGCTACTCCAACAGGGAATTTTCGACATTATTTTTGTAGCCTGCAACTATAAATAGGGCTATATTGTCTAAACCGACCTAACAATTTGTTGAAAGATGCCGTTGAGCGGTACTGGCGAGGTAAGGAGGATCAGAAATGTGTCTAAAGGAGTATTTCTTTTTCCTTTCTTAGAGGAGCTATAATGCTTTTTCTTTAACTCTAGATTCATGAAAACAATCAATTTAACACTGAAGACAATGTGGAATTAGATCTAGTATATTGTTTCCATTGTACAGAAATAAGAGTCAATATAAAACGTTTAGAAAGGCTAAATCCTCGCTAGATTTTTGTTGTGGAAACGGTCTAAAGCTAAAATTATCCAAAGGCTGAATAATCAGCTCAGATTCGGTTTTTATTTGAGAAAAACGAATAATATAATCGAGATCAAATGCTTAACAAGGCCGAAAATCATTCTACAAAAAAGACCAAAGATTAAAATATGATAGAAATAGACTAACTATACCAAAATTCTACTAAAAAACTCTACTACCTTAGAGAACTCTAAAATAAAGATAAACACGAACCAACCCTCACACTCCACCTTTATTTTCATAGCTCATCGCCTCGCTAGTCGTAGCAGCCGGCCTGGCATGTACGTGGTGCGCTTCTACCCAATTCAGCCGAGCCGCACTCTCGGGCGATACCTCGGACTTTGCCGCGCCTTACTTCTTGATGTAAGTCCAGCCTAAAACTGTTCTTCTGAACCAACAATATTTCAAAAAGTCTTAAAAACTACCAAAACCCTAGGTGGTTCCACACGAGCCTCACCATCTCCTGCTACCCGGTGTATCTGCTATCGGCTCGGATACGAAAGTTGGACATGAAAGAAGCGCATATGTTAGTTTTTCTAGCTCACTAAGCTGCTGTTTATGTAAATACTTATTTAAATTCTATATTTTGAGCTAGCTTACTTACATAACCTATTTTAGTGAAGCTGGTCAAGTGTTTGGCCAAGCTGGCATTTGCTTCATCGCCATCGTAAAATACGTCTTGCCATTTCTGGTGCTTTGGACTGGGGCTAATTACTTGTATGCACGGTGCCTAGGTAAGTAAAAAACGCTCTAACTTCTTTCGGAAAAGCAGAAAGAATCTAAGTAAATAAAACTGATATTTAGGCCATGTTTCTGCCTCAATCGCCACTTCAATTAGCTCCGGAAACGCGGCAATGGTCTACGTCTTGGCGATTTTCATCCTAAGCGAGAAATTTCACTTACAAAAGGTAAAAACGACTAAAAGTCGCGCTAAATTAGAAAAAACACCCAAAAATTAGCTGAAACCTTTAGGCCTTCGCTGTAGTTCTTGGAGTTGGCGGCATCGTCCTGATCTCCGTCGACCCCAGCGGGAATGGGGATGGCGAATGGGTCGGCTATGTGCTGGCCGTTGCCTCGGCATTCTTCTCTGCCCTCTACAAAGTTAGAAATTGGCCTCAAAACTTTTAGAAATCTAGGTAGTCTTCAAAAGGGTTATTGGCGACGCTACACTATCACAAGTAAGCCAGA